CCCAAGTAACTGTTGCACGTGATGGAGCTGAGCTTTCCTGGAGATGGCTGAACACCAGCCTGCTGGTGGGAGGCAGTGAACAAATTCCTTGTTTGGCTTTGCTTGCATGCAAGGCTTTTGCTTTACCTGTTAACCTGCCTTTATCTCAACCCACGAGTTTTCTCGCTTGCACTCTTCTGATTCTTTCCCCCATCCCACGGGGGGGGAGTGAGCGAGCGGCTGTGTGGGGCTTAGTTGCCGTCTGGGGTTAAACTGCAACGGTTCTTTTTGATAAACCACGACAGTACTCTAAAAATACTTGCTGAAAAGCAGAGCAGGGAGAGTTCAGGCAGGGATTCTCTGCAATGTTCTTCGTCTCCACCCTTCCCCTCTACCCAGCTGTTTGTTTGCAACGAAATGTGAACAGTGATTCAGTCAACAGGATCCTTTCACTTGTGCCCCTCACTAGACTGAGGGAAAGTAATATAGGAATCAGTTTCTCATCAAAATATGTAGCTTTGGGGGTCTGTCGTCTTGGCTGAAATCCAGGTCAAGTACTTTCTCAATATTCAGAGCCCCCTCACAGGACTATCATTACCTACTTGTTCCAGAAGATCACTAACACACTCCAGTATCTGCCAAGGTGGAAGATTCTACAGCATATGAGAGAAGGGATGTTGAGGCACCACATGGACCATATAATTTGCCCCCCACAATGACACGAAATGGTCAGACCTCACCACACTGCGAGATCACTTGCCTATGGGAAGCTCACATGAACATGCCTTGACACTGCAGACCAAGCTATTATCAAGAATAAAAGCTAGCTACACAAGCTCCTTTCTCAGCCGAAGGGAGATACAGAAAGGAAGACTATTAGTTCTAAATAGAAGGTCATCACTGAACAATTTCCATCAACAAAGTATTTCAACATGCATCTGGGGCTTAACATGCTCTGTAAGTGGTCAGAAGGTACTGAAATACTGCAGGAACTCGGGAAAAACTCTAGTAGTTTAAGCTCATAACCCTGCACTTAAAAAAAAAAAAAAAAAAAGAGTATCTAATTGGAGGATGCAACAAACAAATCTACTCCTCACCACTATTCTGCTGTCATTTTAAAGAGGAGAATAAAGAGAACTGAACCAATATTGGGCTAGATACAACAGCTTGCAGGATTACCGAATTACACTTGAAAAGATACTGGTTCTTGTGTACTGTAGGGTACTTGACCTGAATCCTCAAACAAGTTCAAATCCACTCATTAAAGAGAGCAACAATTTAAAAACCAGCAGGATACAAGAAATCAAAAGCAGCGTACAATTGCAGTGCCACATGTTTTCAATACAAATTCAGGTATTGGATACCTAGAAATTCAAAAGCAATGATCCTAATGACAGTCAAACCACTACAAAACATATGACTTCAGTCAATATTTGGTGTCTTCCAAAGCTCTACAAATTCATACTCTGTATCATGATGCTGTGGATTATACAGTGGATGAATAAAAAAGGAAAATTATTTTTGCTTGAAAGTAATGCATTTTGTTATTAGAGCTTTTTTACTATAACTACTTTCATGCAATACATCTAACGAGACCCAGCATGCAGAAACATAAAAGTTTGGTGGGAAAACACTGGTAGTTTTGATAGCTGAGTAGAGGTATTCATTATTTATGCCATTTGTACTGTTGTACTACATGGCAATATATGAGTCCCAGTTGATATTGCTACTTGAACCATTTCTGCTTTCTGGAAAATATTACCGTAAGTGTACCGACTGTGCTACGTACACATTTTGCAATCTACAGATGGCCATAAAACTCAATCACTCATAATGAATTTTATATTTTATATTTTTAAATATAAACTGCACTGAACAAATGCATTCAAGGTAAGAACCTGACCTGGGTACACAAAGAATACAGAGAAGCAAGAGAAAAAACACGTTTTGTGCACATTCCTGATAAAATTATCAGTGAAAGTTAACTGTGTTACATAAGTCCAAACATATTCACACAGTACATTATTCAGCAGAAAGATTGACTGAAAGCCATTGATCTCTCTCAAAGCGGTTAAACATTGAAAAAACGTTATTTAAAGGACTAGGCTTCATAATGTTAAATTCTGAAACAACTTAATTGTAAATGCTGGATCTGTGGAAACCCAGGGGCACCAGAGAGAGAATTCCAACCTCTCCATTGTACACTTCAGGGCACCCCAGGCTGAGCCAGAGGACAGCGGATAAACCAAGCAACAACTGGGAATTGATTCTGCAGCAGTGCCCAGGCGCCACAGGCACAAGCGTCAAGCACTAGGTGAGTCAAGAAAACATTACGTGTCTTCATCAGGGCAGAACATGCAGTGGTGCTTGGAACTAGCTCCGTTATCCCGCATGCAATCCTCAACACTTCAGAAAACTTTGGCAAAAATTCACTATTGGTCTATTTGCCACTGTTGCTATGTAGCACTGAAACTATATACTTCTGCCTTTTCATTACCAGAGCAAAAGCAAAGGGGTCTCAAGAGAATCTACTTTATTCTAGACCATTTTGCATGCAGATGTATCGCTTAGAACTTTCTTCCTAGCCTTATTCACAGACATCTACTAGTCTGAATAGCACTGTAAGGGTTTTAAGTCATTAATTCCCCCATACTAGACAAAATGCAAAAAGCGAGGGAAATAATCTATAAACTGAGTTCAGATTCCATTTACTGGCTTGCTGTAGCACTGCTTTCTCTACAGAACAAGGCAGTCTAAGATTTCCTACTTTCTATAGAGCACCTATGAGGATTTTAAAACAACAAACAAATTGGACATCGAGGCATTAGAGTAAGACCCAGCTTAGGCTCACTTCTACCAGCCTTTCACCAGCAACCGATACATTAAAAAATGAAAGGCTTACAAATGCAAAGCCCATGAGGTGGGAAGTGTGGACATGAAACACAAACACTGCTCATGAATTAAAACTGACACAAGATTGCTTCTCCAAACCTCCATTACTGATACTCTATTCAATTTTCTTAAGAATTAGTTACATTTCTGGGAATATTACCAAGAAGCTTTAGCTAATGACCAGCATTGATGCTGTGTATATACAGAACCTTGTGTTGTTTGGTAAAGCAACATAAACAGGCTGTAGAGGTGTCTGTTCTTCCTCAGATTATTTGTGCCTCAGGAGACTGGTCAAGCTCTGTGTTGGATGTAAAACTTTTTTTTTTCCTTTATTCTTTATCCTTTTAATGTCTTTTCCAGCATAAATGCAGACTGTACATAGTATATGAAACACTATTACATCAAAGAAATATAGAGAAAGATTACACTCATTCTAACAAATACTTTTTTTTCCCTTAAATACTGTAAAAATCTGTATCACTCTAGTAACTTTCTCAGAGGGCCACTCACTGAAACACAACATGAGGCCCGCTTGTTGTGACAACTGCTTTCAGGTCAGCCGTTTAAGGTAAAAACACCCCAGCAAAATATTTCAACAGATGTTTCAGTGTGCCTAAAAAGATGTTATCCTGAATTCTAGAATTATTTTCTTATTATGTTCACATGTACTGCTGAAATTCATGAACAAAGTATTCAAAACACAATGCTTTCAAGTCCATTTAAATAAATGGTGCTCAAAGTCAAAAAAGAAACACGCTGTCAAAAATTTGTACAAAGGTCAAGGTGAAAAATATAATTTGATTACAAAAAAATTTGTTAATACCATCTGTACAGCACAGATAATGCTTTTCATAAGATAAATTTATCACCATCCTCATTCTGAGATGTTAATTCATAAAGCATGCATTTTCTGTGTACTCATATGCAATAATTAGTGGTTTTATAGTACTTCCTACTTGAGTGTGAACAGTTAAGATATTATACAGCGACTCAACTGAATGAGGGGGAAGCTTATGCATGTTATTTTAATGAAAAGATATTTTACTTGTCTAGCTCCAAAAGAGCCAAGAAAGGTAAGCGATAAAAGCACCAGCTTAGACTCTTTTGAACATAAATTCAGGCATTTTAATGTGTATCTCAGTAAAGCTACATGAGTTTCCATGTAGGTTATTCATACATATTATGGCACTTGGACTCTCCTAACAGGTACGTAAGTTACATAGGACATCTAGGCTAAAAAAGAGGAGGTCTGCTAAAATTAACCATTTCTGTAAGAAAACACTTCTGTCCCAACCTTCAAAACCCTTAATTTTCCTGGAAGTTGCAACAAAATACAATTGTTCATATTTTACATTGAGTAAGTTGCCTTTGACTATGATGTCACATTAAGTTTAGATCTCTATTGATTCGTGAACATGAAGGAAGGCAATCTTACGCACTTTTAACAAACCAAGTTGTGTCCTGCTCCTTAGTAATTATAATATGGAGTATTGATACTTGTGTATCCATTCTTTTGTTGGACTAAAGTCTTTGAAGTAATTACACATATTAAGAAAGAAGTCCAAATTTAATTAAAGATGGCTTACAATGGTTGTTTTTTCTCCATGTAAGGCATTATTCTGACATCTACTGGCCTGGTATCCAACCATATATTTTAATACATTGCATTTGTTATTAAAAAGGAGCATATATATTAATCCAAAGATAAGAACAATTAAAGGAACACAAATGACATGTATTTAAAACAGGCCCATGTATTTTCATATATATCTCACAACCCTACCAGTATTTTGGTAGGTTTCTATTGCCTTCTTAACTCAACTGAACTACTGTATATTATGAGGCTTTAATACAAGCAGCTTTGGGGAAGAAAGTTACATTTGGAAGGGAAAAGAAAGTTGTGACAACTAAAAAAAAAAATCCAAGAAGCTTTTTTTTTTTAAAAAAAATTCTTTACTTGCAAAATTAAGCAGCATGCTATTTTGTGATTTATATTTGAATTTAAAAAGACTAATTAGACCGAAATAAAAATAAAAACCTAAAAATGGCAATTCTATAAATAATGAAAATGTTGATTTCACTAGACTTCAATGAAAAACATTTGGTAATTAAATACTTGCTACTGTTCATTACGTTGATGAACTTTATTAGGGTTAAAACTATAACAAAGTTCATCCTAAAACATTTTGCAATGCAAAATTATTTTCACTTGAGGAGTGTCTCAAATTGAATGCTAAGAATTACAAGCAATCTTCAGAAGCAGACACTCACATTCATAAAACTTTATACATCTTTTGGAACTAAGATATTTATACTACTAAAATCAAACATGCATCACTTCCCATACATTCTGGTATCAGGATTTATATTACATTATGTAACACCATTCTTCTAAACAGCAGCAGTTTTATCATACGTTTGCTCCGTTTTCTTTGGATTTCTGATCTTTATCTTCGTTCTTCACAATATCCTTTAAAAGAAAAAAAGAAGAGGATAACATGAATTGCAGAAGTGCTATTCCTCACTTGAACTGTAAAGCAGCATGAGACAAAGATACTTTAAATACTATGTGAACTGATATCTTACAGTTTAGTTACAACCAATTCATATTTTCAGTATCTTCCTGAAAAATTGAGGGGACAGAAATTAAATGTGACATTAGCACTTCCGAAGAGAAGCACAAAAAACATCCCCAGAAGCCTCACTTCATAGCCTAAAGGTTTAGGGGTTGTGGTTTTTGTTTGTTTGCTTTTTTCCTCTGGTTGGTTGGTTGGGGTTTTTTTATTTATTTTTTTAAAGAACAAGTGAAAACAGTTTATGCAAAAATCCATTAAATTAGCATAATAATTTACCATTAACAGTTCTAACAAAATACTCACATCGCTCAAAGTCATCTGAAAACACTAGGCTCAGAAGACATCTTCTTCTCAAAAATTCCAGACAGAATGAGCAAGGCTATTTAACTGAGCTAAGAGCATGGCAAAAAAGGGTTATGCAGTGCTTTTGGCTGCTGGGTCTGGTGGAGTAGCAGGTCTACAACATCTAGTGAAGCACAGGACTGCACAACAATACTGATGACAGACGGCTGCAAGGTACTGCCAGTTTAACAAGCTACAGTGATTCACTCACTTTACTGAAATACCCCCACATAAATTGAAATAATTAAGTTCTGCCTTCAAAAATTACTCCTAACTGATCAAACAGAAGAGCAAATTTGGCCTGTTGGGGATGAACAAGATCAGGACAGGAAAATATTAAGATGGTTTGAGATTTACATTAATATTTATACATTTTTAAAAACACTTAAGTCAAGAACATGTGTTGGAAGCTTTGAAAAAACCCACATTTGTTATCTTTAAATAATCAGTATCATATTGAGCATCTTTTTAATATATACATATAGGTTAAGATACTACTGCCCTGAAGACATGTGAAAATTCTTTTTTATTCTGAAGTTTTTGTTCTGATAATGCACTCTATAGGAAGCTTCCATGCAATAATAAAAAAACGGAATTAAACAATTCTAACCTGTTTAAGAACACTCTGTATTTCATCCATAACAGTAGCTAAATTTTTGATTGTCTTATTCAGCTGACCCTCAAATTGCAAATTTTTATCATCCGAGATCTTCAAATTTTCTTGCAGTTGGCCAAGGTCCTTTTTCACCTCTTTCAGCTCCGTAGATAGACTTTTGTTAGAATTCTCCAGTTGTAGTATGGTTTTTTCATCCTCATCTTAGAAGGGAGAGAAAAAAAAAAGTCAGTCATTTCTAATGCTGTGTACTTTGCATTTTAATGTTCCATTTACATGCCAACTAGATAACTACTAATTTTTAAAGAACTTTAAAAACTGCATTGCATTACCATTTGATAATACTCAATTCTGACTACATTTGGAAGTCTTATGTTCAACTTGAATAAAGAAAGATAAAAGCATTTCAGCATGGTGACAGTGGTACTCAACAACAGCTGGTATGCAAGTTCAAAGGGCTTGGGAAACAGAAAACAGACGGTTATGGTAAGCAAATAGTTAAGAAATGCAGATCACAAATATTACTCAAATTGGTTTATTCTGCTTAAAAAGTCTTAGCGTCTTGCATCCATGTAAGTACCACCTTCAAAGTAACATCCCACCTGTTTTTTCTTCTAGTAATTGAAGCTTTTGTTCTATCTCTGCCCGCACTCTTTCACTCTTCTCCAGCTTCTGTAAAAGGCTCCCAACATCCACCATAGCTCCATTGTACACAATGAGGCCGACATTTTCTTCTATGGCTTTTGATTCTTGCTTTATAGTAGGCGATGGTAACAGTAATCTGTTTCCTGTATTGGATTAAGTAGCATTAGGAAATAATAATTCTGTAATTTTTCAGCTCTAGTGACCGACCTCAAAAACTTCTTAAAAGAATAAATTCCTAAAAGACTACATATAAATTCAAGTTTGCTAGTCTATCCCTCACATTTCTCTCCTCCCTCCTTACCCCAATTCCCCCCCAAAATGGAACATGCTCTTTCATGGCATTCTTCTATGCCCCCTCTCTGCAGTAATTTGTCTTCAAAAATCAGGCTCTGTTCTACTACCCGCAGCACTGATCCTCCTGACTGCAAAACTGCTGAATGAGAAATATTGCTCATCAATATTCAACATTAACCTCTGTCCTCCTTTCTGTTCCAAGATACTAAGATTTATCCTATAGATGCAGCAAGATGTGTTGGAAGCCAGAAATACTGTAATTTACAAACTGTCCAAGATTTACTTCTCCAAACTGGCAGGTTCCCTGCAGACCTGAATTAATTTCTGCAAGAAAGCAAGTATCTCAGAACTCCCATTATCATTCACACAGAAACAAATCTCTGGAAGTTTGTGGCATAAAAAAAAAATAATACCACCTAACATATCTTCCTGTAGCTCTTCAGACTCTTCTTGGTTTTCCTCATCTTTAGAAGTATCTGTTAGTCTTCTGTAAAAGCAAGATTCTCTAAGCACTACTTTATTAAGTAACTTCTTGACCTAAAACACAACCATGGAAAGAAATAGTGTTACTTAATACACAGACACTATATTACCTAAAAGAATGTTTTCACTTGGAAAACTTAAGAGAAATTGCACAGCTTTTTGAACTTTAACATACTGGGGCTTAAAATGAAAACAAGCTTGGGGGGGGGGTGTGTGAGGAAAATGCAATTTTGAGACAAGAGCTATATATACACAATACAGGCATATTAAGAGCTGCAAACTTCACCTTTTTGTTCCAAGACAATTTACAAAAGATTTAACTACTATTTCATTGTAAATATGAAGTGGCTACATAAAAATCAGGGATCAAATATGTAAGCAACAGCCTTTAGAAGCTAAACTATGTTCCTCTCACTTACAGCATTCCCATAATATTTTCAAAGAGATTTCTAATACTATACAAAACCTGAGCACGTGACAGGTGTAGTCCAAGAGTGTACAGTATCTCCTCCATGTCCTTCTCCAGAAGATATCCACAATGACTTTGATCAAAATAAACAAAAGCCATCAGAAGATCCCTATTAACAGTTACCATCTGCGTCTTGTCTTTCTCCTACAGAAAATTCATTATGAGATCATTAGGAAGTTAAAATAGCATTTTCCCGTAATCTACTAAAAACATGTAAACTTTTCAGTTAAAGTTTTCCTCCACTCCTTTTATCATTATTTTCAGTTGAGTGATTAATATAACTAGCATTTACCTACTGAGCTCAAATATAATATAAGCAAGCTATTTAGGACAAGTAATCTTCCAAATATTTAAAAGCATTACAGCACAATGGACAGTAACATCTGGTAGACACACTTTCCTTGTGTTCATGCTAATGTGTCAAAAATTTTGAAGAATTAACCTAATTAAACAAGTAACATTAAACATCCCTTCTCCTCTCAATCATGTATTTTACTGAACAGCTGTTTTCCAAGTGAAATCCCCATAAATATGCAATGAATGAGCATCCAGCTCTCACGGCTACAGCAGTTCTGCAGACTGTTTTCCCATTATTCCTATTCCTCCATCCCTTGAAGAAAAAAATAATCAGAAACTTGTTTTATTCTTGCATTTATAAGGAAAGTTTAAGTGTAACAACAAATCAAACTTATGCTGTTGCTTAATCTGAACTGTGGAGGCAAGCTATTGGCCTCATGACACAGAAAGCATCCTTTTTTCCTGCAGGGAGATGTGAAAACATCACATAATGATTCCAAGCTTCACAACTGAAAAGCCAGTTTATCGACTAAGCTAAGCTTCTGCTTTTCTTATGTAAGAATACAGCAGTTGAAAATAACGGGTAAAATAATCATATCTGCTGCCTCACGTGCCATAGAGCACTAGTCCTTGCATCTTTCAGACAGATCAGTATCTCGTATAAGAAAGTTTTTCCCACAGCTTTCACCCAATGAACTTTAAAATGTCAGTGAAAGGAGGTTGTAAGCACCTTACCCAAAGCTGTCACATGTTCCCTAACTTCTATATGCACTCAATGTTTCAGTCCAGAAATGCTGAAGGAATCAAGGAGTGCAAATAGGTCTTATAACAAAAATAAAATTAAGCTCTAATTAGGACACCTCTAACAAGGTTATACGTAGTTGTTAAGAAAGGTGTTAATTACTTTATCTTTAGACGACCTCTCTTTACAATGCCTATTTCCCTCTCTTCTATCTTCACGTTTGTTCATTTCCTCTTCATCCCGGTCTGTAAAACAGAAAGAAAATTCAACATACCCACAGCAAACGATTCTATAACCGTTATCTCAAAATACATATGTTAATTAAAAAAATTCACATAAAGCCCCCAAGTATCTGAAATTTGTATATTTCCCTGACAAATAAAAAACAAGTGGTATTTAAGTGAATCCTGTTAAAGTTTTATCTTAGTCTGGTCTTATTTTAATGTAAGCCATTTGTCGTTTTTTTTCCCCCAGTGTTTCTTTCACATACACAAGATAGCATTTGTTTCAGCTCTTCTAACTAGGCCAAAATGAGTTCTGCCAATATCACCATCTATTTAAGTGTTATGCAGAAAACTACCACAATTCTTCCTAATAAGGTTTGGCAGAATCTGCATTCAGCTATGGTTATTCCTATTATGACAAAACCAGTACTATTTAGTCTCAAATATTTCATATCATAAAAAAACATATCAACTATATAATTGAAAGCTTATGTTTATGCTCATGTCTGAGTGAGGTATTACTGATCCTACAATTTAGATTCTCCAGTAAGTTACAGATCACATCGCCTATTAGATGTGAATTACAAACTCCAGGTTTTTTGTTCAAAGATAGACAGATACAGTAAAACTAAACCTAAAATCAAGAGAGAAAGAGGAATATGACAACTGCAGGTATAGATTATGGCATGCAGCTCTGTACCTTATGTGCAAGTCTCTGGTCAAAGAATCACGTGCCAAGTTCAGCTTTAAGCTCACCTTTCTTGTGAGGAAAGCTTTGGAAAAAACCTATGTATCATAAAACTTGTCTAATTTTGCCAACACGTTTCTGAGAACCAATAGCTTTTTCCTGCACCTCCACGACATGTGGGATTGTTCTCAGCAACTCTGACTGGGAATGGCACAAGGACAGATTATGGGAAGTAGCAGCACTTGTACAGAACAGACAAGCCCAGGGCACCCTCACAGTCAGATTATAAAGCAAGGAAGAGTTATTCTGGAAACCACAGATTAGCACCAATTTTTTAAGGCTGGTGCAGTACTCCGCTAAAAATACAACTGAAAATGCTGGTTAGAAAATGCTGGGACTGCAGTATCTAAGCAGTTCAAATCCACACCACTAGCAAAAACTCTCCACAACAGGACAAAAACCCCAAAGAAGCACAAACCAAAAAGCATACACCGTGTCTTAACGCCTTTCTGAATCTCTGAGCAGGAAAAGAGGGCTATGGCTGCTCCCTGGAGACAGGAAAGTTCCCCAGTCCCTTTCCCCATTTCTTCAGGCAAACCAAACTCCACCCAAACAGAAATTAACTCCTTGTAACATCACATAAAGAGCTACACTCCCACACTACATTCTGGCCTAATAAATTCAGGATGACATTTCAGAACTGAGGAACAGGAAGATAGGCACTTAAAAGTGGCTTGGTTTTTCAGAGGTGCTGAATACTCACATCTCCTACTGACTTCAATGGGAGTTGCGAGTGGTCTGCATTCTGAAAAAAATAAAACCACTTCTATATGCATGCCTTACTTTGAATACCACAGCTAGTTTATATTAACTACGTTCATACAATGCCTAGCATAAAGGCACTTACATTTTAAGTAGATAGCGTCAGATTTACTGAAAGAAAATTAGACTAATAATGCAATTTTAAATTCTCTAGTTCCAGTGCATTCTCCCACTTGAAAAAACATTTTCAGTGACAATAAAAAGTTTCTGAAAGCCACAAGATTTGTAACTCAACATACCTTCATCTTCGTCTTCAGCATCTTCTGCCTCCATCGGATCATATTCTTCTTGATTATTGTCATCTTCAGTTTCTTCTTCATCTTTAGAATCGTCTTTCCTTTTATCTTCCCTCTGTAACAGAAGTTCCTAAAAATTTATCCAGTCAGAACTAAAAACCAGGAGAGTAAAAACCTCACTACCATTCATCCAAAATTTGCATATATTTATATTTAGTCACTGAAATAACCAAATACAAATCTATGTGATACAGCTGAGTGTTAAAATACCCCAAACACACCTGTAAAATTTTTAAATTACTGAATATAATTGAAGCATATTTAAATAGATCAACAAGTCAAATCAATTAAATAACACTAGAAAACCTGAGTTCTCGAAAGCAATAAAGTAAAACTCAAATAGAAACAGTTTAACATTGATCCAGACAGGATAGTACTTCGTATGAGCTAGCTGCAGACCTTCTTTTCATCTCTATCTTCTTTTTTGTCTTTATCATCTCCAGATTTTCTCCTCTTAGGTTTTGGATCATCTGTTTCATCATCTTTTTCTTCTTTTTTTTCTTTTCTCTCATCTTTTTTGCCTTTTTTGTCTTTTTTGTCCTCCCTCTCTGGGAGAGAAATCAGTGCTTTGTAAATTCTGACACCAAAATCTCTCTGAAGCATTTCATTGAAGAGTTCTGCAAACAATGATACCTGCACATAAAGAAGAAAAGAGAACTAACAAAAAGTTTTAAAATATGTATTAAAAATCCATACACTTATTATTAAATAGCTATGAGGTGCTATCTCACCAACTTTCACCATGTCAGAATGTTACGTAGTGTCAGATTTCTTAATATCCGCTTCTTTAAATATGGAAACCTTAAGCAACTTTACAAAAATGCTTCTTTGCTGTACTGCAGTAGTTTATAATTTATACAGCTAGTCTAGGTCCTAAAACTCAGTTCCATATCCAAAAACCTGTGCATTTCTCTGGATATCATACAGTGACTATACTGCTACTGTAAACCATGTACCAAAGACTGGACAATTTTTTCTAGGTATTGCACAAAGAAATTAACTTAAGCTTTATTTTGCCATGCTATCATAAACTTTTACAACTTAAGACTACTGCAGTTATGATACAGATTAAAAAGAACCAAGAATGGCTAGCTGTAAGTAGCATAGCTACATTACCTCAAAGGAATGTTCTTTATTATCTTCTAATCTATAGTCCAGAAGAACGCTAAGAGACATAATGCTACAGTCAAACTTCCCACTCTTTGCCGCCCAGTTAGGATGTACAATGATTGCTGGTTCATCAGGCAAGATATAACGTCTCTCCCGCCGCTGACGTTCCATTTCTTCTTGACGTTTTCTTTCCTCTTCCTAAAAAGAGGCAAAAAACCCCCAACATACAGCAAATTCCAAAGCTGAAGTTTCAGCCTATATATTAGTTTTTAGGACTCACTGCTTTGAAGAAAGGGAAGGAAAGCCTAAGCTGCTGAATGCAACGCAGAGGTCACAGACTAGAGTTTCCAGAACGCTTACCGTGTCCACTGCCAACACTCGCCTAAGGCAACTGGAAACTTGAGCAACAGAAAGCAGGACATGCAGTGTTGTTAAGCCCTCCGAGCAACAAGGGCCTTCCAACTATCTTATTGTGCTAACTGCAGCATGTTTATTTGACACTGGAAAGACTCAAGCTAGTTCACTTTAAGAAATGGTATGCAAGCTAGCAAAGGAGTCAAGGCTCCTGAGGGGTCTTTTTTTTTTTGTTGAGGGGTGTTTTTAGAGCTGTAGAGTACAAGCAAGCTGTCTTATTCCTTACATAGCAAGAGTAAAGGCTTCATACATCATCTTCCCAAAGATTTACTTGGCTCTTTTGATTATGGGAAATGCAATCTCTACAGATACAAGCGATGCAAATCAAACAAAAGGTTAAAAGAGGTTAAATACCAAGCAGCTTACTGATTGCCATGAGAGAAATATTAATCTTACAAGTACGAAAAAAGTCATGACAGAACTCGTGCTTTTTAAAAAAGCAAGCACAATCAAAGCTCCCTTCCCAACTCTTAAAGCAAGCTATGGCAAGAAACCCCAAGATAGTTGAAGCTCATCCAAGTTGTGGGAGAAGGCAGCAGCTGACAGAATTAGCAAGCGCATGGCCTTTGCTCCCTCAACAAGGTTTACACATATATAAAATTTCCAATCTTCCCATATTGGTTAGCAGGTAATACACAAAAAGTCAGGTTTACAAGCAACTAGCAAAAAAATATATTCTCCAGACATTTATGCCCCTTTTCTGTGGTTGAGCTTTAGCCTTATTGCACAGATCTTTTATCCTTGTGAAACAGCAAAACAGACTAAGTAGTACTGAAACTACCAACCGCAAAACTGAGAAACTTCAATACACAGGAAGTTTATCCAAAAGCAAAAGTTAAAGTTTTATAATAAGGGAAAACAAACCTCGACAAATCGTTACCCATGAAAAGAAACTGGACTGTCTGAGACACTACAATCTTTTACAGACTGGAACCTGCCCTCCCTTTTCCACAATAATTCCCTACAGCTTGTATGCCACTAAAAGCCAATACAACTACACAGCTGCTCTTCATGTAGGTTTAAGAAGTCATTAAGATCTTGCTAAGTGTGTTCACCTACTCTTGAGCATGGCTTTTCTCAGGAGTTTGGGATTTATTTTTCCTTACATTTCAAGTCTGACATGAATTCAGACACCCTTAGTGCAGTTGCACATTTCAGCTGACTTTGCTGATATAAAGAAATTCAAACTTGCCAAGATTTTATTCCAATTCAGCAGCTCAAGTTACAGCAAGAGTTCCCAGTACAGTCATCCGAGAACTACAAAATCCCAACACAACTAGGCATATTCCTGTACTTTTTATACTTATATATATTTATTTATACAAATTT